AATACAATAATACAGTCAGACATATTACATGGTAACATTGCTCACCTCCGCCCTGCTAAGTGGTCCTCGTGGGGGGAACCCGGCTGCCATAGCAGGAGCCGCCTCCCTCGCGGGAGCTGCCCTCTCGTCCACCGCCCTCATGGGAGCAGCCCTCCTTCCTCAGCCGCCCTCTGCCAGCCACCCTCGGCCAGCCACCTCTTGGGAGCCGCCCTCTTGGGAAGCAGCTCTCCTTATTTTTTGCTAACCACGCATCATATTACTTTAGGGGGATACATCACAGCATCATGCATCACAGAGAGGGGCAATACAATTCATTCTTGAACAGGTTTGACCATTCTGGTGTCTCATACAATAAAGCAGGCAATTACTATCCTGGGAGGCATGCAAGGCCCCTGATAGCAGATAGCAACCTACTTCATAGAGAGGGGTTGTAACATAGGCAATACAAGCAATAGGAGGGGGATGACCTAGGGGTGAATGTGCAATAGTAAGAGGAGGGAATAGGGGGGCATGTGTGATAAGATAGTAACCTAAACTTAGTCATCTTAGAGTGGTCCCGGGCTTGCCTATGGGCACTGCTTCAAGGGAACAATAACTGAAAGGAATGGGCCCTATTTGGGGTGAGTCAGACTATGCAGTCTGGCTGCTCTAGATGGCTGATGTTAAGGAGAATAACCTCTGACCTATTTTCGCTGCCTAGTGAACAATTATTCTCAAGCTAAGTCTGGCATATATTTTGGGGAGACAACTTAAGAGAAATCCTTCTGTTCCCCACACCTCCCTCCTCAGCAGCTACAGCAGGGCTCCACACATTCCAGCTGTGGTGACCATGCCTAGGGCCAGGCCACACTTACTTCCATGGCAGCCTCCTCAGTCCCCAGAGGCTCGGCCCGCAGGAGGACCACTGTCCATGAGCCATGGACATGTGGTGTGTGAAGCCCTTTCCCCAACATCAGGCCGGCTCCCCGTGACTCTTCCCCCAAGAGGCTCCTTGTACACCTGCGGCTCTGGGCGATTCTACACATGGTCACAGGAGTGTCTGCACATGGCCACTGAGTTTCTACACATCATCATGTGAGTTTCTGCACATGGTCATACGAGTTCCTGCTTATGGTAGCATGAGGTTTTTCACATGGTCAAGTGAAGCTTGGCGAGGTCAGGCCCAGACAAGGGCCCCCTCTAATGGTGGCTCCCACAAACCCTTTCTGGACCCAGCAGACAGGGCCCCTACCTGCTGGAGACCTTCCCTTCCAGGTGCTCATGGTCCCTGTGGGCCAACTAGGCTGGGTTCCAGAAACACCGCCTCTAATGCTTGTCTGGGTAAACAGCGCCTTCGCCCTGTAACAAATGATCCTGCGTCTCACTCAGCACCTCTCAGTTGGCTTTTTGGGGTGATGCCACCTGCATTTGCAGCTGCTGGTTTTCCATCACATGACCTCCAGCTGTTTCTCCCGCAGCATGCTCATGGTGGCTTCGCATGTTTGCTGCCGATTCCTGATTTGACCCTTCACCTCGCTGTTTTCCAAATTAACATCCACAAGCATTTTCTGCAGGCCCATGGAGGCCAAGGCCAAAGCTGAGTTCACGTGTTAGAAGTACCCGGGGCTGACTGACAACTGTGTCGGGATGTAATTCTCTGTTCTGCTGAGCTTGAAAAACAGAGGGTGCCAGGTGTGCCATCGGGCCCTCTGCTTCCTGTCCTCCTGGTCTACAGACATCCGCTCCCCGACTATCCCCAGGCTGGCTCTTGCATCTTCCATGGGGCCCATCTCTTCTTTCAGCCGGTTGGTGGCACCTTGCACCACCATCTCTCTCTGCGGGTTTTCACCCGACCATCACACCCCACCATGCACGACACCCCGAGGAAGTTTCCTGGCAGGTTCTCCACTGCTTAGGTCAACTCTTTTCAATTCTCTCTTCATGTTGCTCACAAACTGGACTCTCAGGAGATACAGTCAGCTCTCCGGCTGGGCGACCCAGGCACCCTGGTGCCGCCACCAGAGAGCAAGGTGACCGTGGGCATGAAGTGTGACGGTTGGCAATGGGCACTCCTCTCAGGTGGAATCAGGTGGTAACTGTTTGTTTTCACGGTTCCAGAAATTACTAAGACAGTAACTAACAGGTTATAGTTTAGGGTTAGGGATGACTCGGGATATAGATGTTCAGTTACAGTTTAGGTTAGGGATGACTCGGGATTCAGATGTTCAGTTAGCAGAGCCTTTTGTCAATCAAGCTGCAGGCAGGCCTCTCTCTGGCCTTTGGCCTCTTGGTCCCTTCGGTGTAGCCTCTCCCCTTTCCCAGAAAATGTCTCAAAGCTCTTTAGCTCTGCCAAAAAAAGTGCCCAGAGGGACACTCTACTCCACCAGTAGCAAGCTCCAACAACAAGTGCCAGCAGGTGCCCCACTCCACCAGAAGCCCCTGCCCGAAGGTGCTCAGCTCTCTCACTCCATGGGTTGGAACACTCAGTATAACCACCTTTCTCCTTTGACGGAGAAGCCCCTGTGGCCATTTTGCATCAATCTCCTGCTTCTCCCCCTTCTGCCACTGCTTCACTTTTGCACACACACTGCTGTTACAGGTCTCTGTCTCCTGGGTCTAAGAGATTCTAACATGGTAACCCTGGGTCTAAAAGAAGTGTTCCACTCTTAGTTCTTCTTTCCAGGTGGCGAGGAGGGCCCCTCTGCTCTGGGATTGGTTCTCTTTGAAGTCCAGCAGATGGAAAAACTATCCAATCCCCTTGTCCGGGTTCCAGACACCTTATTTGCATGGTCTAACCTCCACAAGGGTACCACGCACCTTATTTGCATATTAACAAAGCTCATCCCCATGGTGGACCACGAGCACCTTATTTGCATAGTTCCCCCAGCTCCTTTGCAGGGCATTGTGAGACGGGGCTCGAGAGACCACATGAAAGCAGGTCGGCACATCATGGGCCATGAGGGCCATGTGACCGGCGGGCCAGTTCACTTAAGAAGGCCATGTCTTTCTGGAGCACAGCTGCTTTGATTCTTTTGGGTCTCAGCCTCGTGCTTAACTGTGGGTGCCAGCAGGGCTCCTTTGACCAGGCCACACCAGTTTCCTCCAGTGTCTTGGGCTCGCTGGCATGGTCTCCTCGGGATCCGTATTCCAGGCTTCTCTTTCTCCACTTTCTGAGCTGGGGGGCAAAGCCCGCCTGGGTAGTGGAGCCCCTGCAGAGGGTCTCCTGGGGTCCCAGGGAAGGGCCATCCCGAGGGGCCCAGCAGGCAGGGGTGGAGAAGGGGGGGGCCCTGTGGGCCAGGCCTCTGTGTTCCCAGATGAGACAGGTATTACCTTCCTCCCTCCATCGAAGGGTTCACGTAGCAGATGGAGTCTGTTCATCGGTTCTCACCCAGCCCAACCCAAGGGGCCGCACTGCGAGAGGACCACAGAGCACCACAGTGATCAAAGGCCCAAAATGCATTCCCAGCCCTATCCCGGAACAGTACCGCAGGTTCCTCCTGGTCCCAGCCTGGCCCTGGAGATGTCCACACGCAGACTTCCTACACACATCCAGGTGATCAACTGCTGGTTTCTGAAGTCTGAGCTTTCAAACAACACAACGAAGCTGAGGGCATCTTCAGAGCGATCCCTTCCATCAACAGGGGACCTACTGGCCTGGGTCGGTGAATATTGTGTCCTGTCTGTATGCAATAGGATCCTGTGCCATGGCAGCGGGCACACCGAGTCACTCAACAAAGCTCCAAGGCAGAACTCCCACAGCCTTCTGCCATCGTGACTCAGAACTAGACACAATGCCAAGACCCTGACCCAGGGTCCATCTGCCCGCAGCAGACCACCTCCAAGGTCAATGTGACCTCAGGAAGACCCTCCCCTGCTCCAATTCATCTCTGGTCAATGTGAGGTCTGGATGACCCCCCTTCTCATCCCCACATACCTGCTCCCCCAATTCAGAGGAGAATGAGAACCAGTCTGCTTCAGTCTCACTGGACCCCACCCCCACCCAGAATCTGTGCCACATCCTAACCGTTTCAGCACAGGCCCCATGCCCGTCGCCACTGACTCCGTGTGTCCACGAGAACGGAAGCATGCACTGAAGCGGCAGGCAGAGAACACTGTGCCTCGTGAGCAATGGAACTGACTGAACGCTCCATCGGCTGACGCTGTCTGTGAGTCATTAGACAGGTTCTGTGGACCCTCTGAGACTTTAATTTGGAGGCCATTCCTGATAGATCAGCGATCAAAACTGGTTTTCATTCTAAAAACCACACATGTTGCTCAAGTGTCCAAGGTGCTCTTGGGGGCTTTCAGCTATGGCGTGAATAGTGGGTGGACTAGGGCACTCAGGTCCTCCGCTGCCAAGTCTTCACCCACTGTTAAACTGTGCCGCCAAGTAAAAACCTAACCAGCTCAGCCCCACCCACTGCCACCACATGGATCCTCACTCCCAGTGGCCCTGTGTGACAGAGAACTACTCCACAGAGAGTCTCATGCCGCCCATCTTTAAGGAAGCAGAAAGCCTCTTCTTTCCCCCAAGGGGTGGATGGGGGGTTCAAAATGATGACCTTGCAGCTATTGGTCATCTAACTGCTCACTCACTGTGCCACCGGGGCTCCCTTCACCCAAAAGGATGGCTGTCAATTCTCCAAAGATGTTCCCCGTGGGCATGAAATCTGCTTGACTCTGAGGAAGGCCTGCTCCTGACAAAGCCACCAAAGGCACTGCGGACAAAGCCACCATTAATGTCCTGCAAAATGACACCTAAGAGCAAACATCATGGCTTGGAGCAGTTCAGGGGCCACAGCTAAGGTCACACTGCGTGTGTGCTGCACTGGGAGAAGGGTGCACACCTAGATGGAGGCTCTGTTGAGAAACGGCTTCACATTTTGACGTCCATGTTCATTGAAACCTGCTATGATTTGTAGTAATACAAAAAAGAGATTGCACCAACACCTGTCACTGTTAGACACTGGTTTGCACCTGTGGTTTTTCCCGGGATGCCCACTACACAGAAAAGGACTCACTTTGTTTTGGCAGATCTGATGGACAGGTCTCGTGTGGGCCTCAGGGATCAGGGCAGCACTGTGGCCGGCATTCAGGTCAAACATTTCCAGGGCTCTGTTCCTGCTGGCCGTCAGCACGGTGTCTGCAATGTCCCATTAAGGGACTCTACCTGGTCATTTGACTGGGGCAGGGTGGAGGAAACATCCCATGACTTCATCAATGAAAGGATACAGGAGTAGAAATCATTGACTGCTGACAAGCTGGTGATGTCCGACTGGCCACTTGTGGAGAGCCTGTGAGCTGGCTGGAACTTGCTCCTCTGTTTATATCTGGGGATGAAAGAAAAGACAGTCAACTCCTCACCAGGCTCCGCTGCAACCCAATCCCCCCTCAGAGATGCTGGGGTGCCAGCGACATCAGGCCAGGCAGCCTTGGTGAGTGGAGCCCACTGGACAATGACAGAAGGGGCCGGGGAGAGGGTGACTGCTTTCCACAGAACATGTCTACGGGACTTGATTGTTGAAATCCTTCTCTGCAGTCAAATGAGGCACATGTAGTTTCAGTTTTGGGGCCCATTAAGAGAGGTCTGCACACATACTGCTTCCCCACACCTTGTCACTGATTTTCCAATCATGTTCCTTCCAAGTCTCTGACCAGCCAGCTGAAAGAGTGACCACAGCCCATGAATCAGTACACAGTCACACAGTCGACTGCCCATGAATCAGTACACAGCCACACAGTTGGCAGCCCATGACTCAGTACACAATCACACTGTTGACAGCCCATGAATCAGGACATAGTCACACAGTTGGCAGCCCATGAATCAGTACACAGTCACACAGTTGGCAGCCTATGAATCAGGACATGGTCACACCGTTCACAGCCCATGAATCAGTACACAGTCACACAGTTGACAGCCCATGAATCAGTACAGTCACACCATTGACAGTTCATGAATCAGTACACAGTCACACCGTTGGCAGCCCATGAATTGTACATAGTCACACGGTTGGCAGCCCATGAATCAGGACACAGTCACACAGTTGGTCACTTCTCCTCTGAAGCAAACAGGGTGTCCAGGTGCACTGCTCCAGGTCCTGCCCGTGGGGACCATTTCCCTTCAGCACTGTCCTTTGGGGAGGTCCCAGAAAGGGCTGTAGTGCTGCTGCTGTCCACTTACCACTGGCACCCGCACATCGTGCAGAGCCACCAGGAAACCAGGCACAAGTTTTCTCTTCCTCAGTCACCTGGTCATAAGGAACTCCCCAGAGGCCATGGGTGCAGACGGGGAGAAGGCAGGTACAGTGACAGGAGTGGAGACTGGGCACTGGGGCCAATTCTCCATGCAGCGTGCTTGTCCCTTCAGGTCCCGTTGTAGGCTGATCTCGTCTGGACCACTTCCATTGAACGATGGAGTGCTGCTGGGCACGCCCAACTCTGTGACCATGACGGGCAGCTCAGGTGCATGGTGACTTGGTGGCCCATGGTGAGGCGTCCAGTCTCCACTAAGGCCCAGTAACAGGCCAACAGCTGTTTGTCAAAAGGAGAGCAGTTGTCTGCAGAGGACAGCAGGGCTTTGCTGCCAATGTTCTCAGGGGCTGCGCTGTGATCCACCAGAGGGGCTGCGCTATGATCCACCAGAGGGGCTGCGCTATGATCCACCAGAGGGGCTGCGCT